GTTGCAACATGCAACTTCAGAGCAAAGACAGCAGAGGGTGAAAATGAGGCTGTACCCAACCTTCCCCCAGACTAAGGCTAGCAGCTTACCATGACTGCAAGACAAATATGTACTTGCCACCTATGCTGTCAAGTCCACCATCCACTGAAAAATGGGGAACCGTTGGTCCATAACTGGATAAGTAGGGCCAGAATGCAGCCAGTTTAGTATGCTGAGTGGGCTTAGACTCCGTCAAAATGAGAAGGAGCTTCTCCCCTTCCTAAGATTGCTTGGCTGCCCTTCGTTTTGCAAGGATCTGTGGATCCACAGTTACTGCAGGAAATGGAGTGATGGGGAGAGGATGTGGCGCTATCTGACTTGAGAAGAAAAATACATGGAACAGAAATAAAAACAGTCATAACAATACTAATGGGTGCAGAAAGCCTTAATTTTCCTTGGAGAGTAATGGTCAGAAGATTTAGAATTGTATTAGAATGGTGGTGTAATGGAGGCAGAGTGGGAGCAGCCTCCACAGGTGTGTTGGAGAACCAAGCTGTACTTCAGACAGCAAAGGAGGAAGGCAATGCTGAATTTTGCCTAGGTTGTGGATTGGACAGGAAGCTATGAAGACAATGAGTGGAGGCAGAACTCTGTCTCTGTACTGCTCTGCCTCTTTGCACCACTCATGCCCATTTCTGCCCTCAAAAATCTCAACTACTCTCTCCCCAAAATGAGGGGGAAGATCTGTCAATTGTCATCCATACCACAAAGCATGCCCATTTTCTTTTCACCACACTTCTGCATACGTACAGCTACTCATCGTTTGAGGCACTGATTCTCAGCCAGGGTCCTATGAGGGTCCTTGTAAGGGTGCCACAGAATGTTAGGTATGCAACCATCTCACATGATTCATGTGATAAACCCAAAGATCTCAATAGGCATTTTGTTCTGCTCTGGTCTTTCCCATTTTTTTGCAACAGAAGAATTGCTCTATTCACAGAACTTGAGGGCTGGAAGGGACATCGTGAGATCATCGGGTCCAGCCCCCCTGCTCTGAGCAGGAAAGATGGCTGGAGTCAAATAGTCCCAGCAAGATGTGCGTCTGGTCTCCTTTTGAGGATCTCCAGGATAGGTGCCTGCAACACCCTGACTGGGAGCCTATTCCAGAGTCTGGTCACACAAACCACAAAGATTATTTTTTTATAGTCAAAAAAATGAATGAAAGCTAAGCCCTGGAATTTTATGAAAGGTACCTAGAGTCTACAAGGTTGAGAAACACTGCTCTAAGGGCTCCTAGTCCCCTCAACCTGGGCAACCCTCAGTCCTCTGCACTGCTCCCAACTCTCCCTGCCTCACCCCCAGTCTCAATACCCTGAACTAGCCCCCACCCCAACCTCTATAGGATAGATAAGGTTACTTTCCCAATGAGATGACTTCACTCTCTTTGTAGGGTGACTAACTAGAGTCTTCTCTTTTTAAAAGTCCATTTTGTTAAATATTTCTGGATGACATTTATTAAATGATATATTATAATGAAGAAACATTTGGATAATGCTTCAGCATTTTCAGAAATGGACACTTGGATTTTTCAGGGCAAAATATTTTAATTTTGTAAATGTTATTCCACACCATATGTCAAGGATTATTTAGACCTACTCCTGGGAATCTGAGGACCCTTACAAAGCTACATTTCAACAATTATTTTAATAAAATCAATCAATCAATAGAAGCTAAAATCTAAACAATAATGTTTTAAATGGCTTAAAACATTTTACAATTCAATTTTTAACATTTAAGTTAAATTTTAAAACTGGAAAAAAAAATACATTAAGAGGGGCTTAAAACTGAACTCTGGTAACAGCCCATTTTAGTGAAAGCTGTTACAAAACAGGAATGGGCATTTTAAACTGAAATTTAGTTTTAATCTTTTCTTATTGCATTTGACAGAATAGTCCAGAAACTTAGTCTTCCTAAATCACTCTTAAGCGTTTACTACTTTATGATTGACTTTTCAGCCATCAAAATTTAATCAGGTCATTCTGTAGCTAATCATACAATATAAAACCAGGCATATGATTCACATTCCTAAAGATCTGCAATTATCAATATAAAATAGAGTCCTTCTCAGCTAATTTTTAAGCATGCAAACAGCAATTTGATTCAATGCCCAGCTGTTTATTTTGCGCACCAATTAATTCAATTAAAAGTGCACATGCTAATGATTCAGTGAAATCTAGTGAAGGAAAGTAAAACCTACTGCCTTTAACTTGGCTGAGGCAACCTGTATAAAAATTCTGCAGAACCTAGGACAAAAATTAAAACAAGATCAAAGGAAACGCTGTCAGACAGAGTAGCCCTTTAAAAAGCTAGGAAGGCATTCTTGCACGGCCTTATTCTGAGTCTCTTTTACCTGAATTATTTGCCATTGCTAGCATTAGGGCCCATCCCAATAAAATGTTTTTTGTGGCCAAAGAAGTGCCCCTCTATACTCTCCTCCTCAATTTCTTCAACTGTCATAAAATAGTAATAAAATATATCATATTTATCACTGTTTCAAAAAAAAAAAACACCCCCCAAAACAAAACAAAGCAACTTAAATGTAGGCTGCTCAAAATCTTGCCTCACCAAGTTCAATGCTAGCTTTGCTACTGACTTCAGTGGCTGCATGGTCAGGCAATATTTTTGTCTGATAAACCTGCTTTTCAAGAAAAAAAAAAAAAGTTTTCTACACCTGGTGATATTTTTTCAATTTACTAACTCTATTCCTATCATCTTCCACAGGAAATCCAATTGTGACATTATTACTGATGCTACAGTAAACTATATATATTGTACACACATTCACAGCATAATGAATTTAAGAGACATACCTACCCAGCTTCCTCCTCCATATGTTCTAATACCAAAATTGGCTTTTTTTTTTCTAGTCAAGCAGGGAAGCACGCTTCCCTGCTTGACAGGAGCAGACAGCTTGGGCCAAGGCTAACTCACCCACTCTGCAAGGGTGGGGTGGGTTTGCAGGGGAGGTACAAAGCATCCTGGCATGCTGGGGGATTGTGAATTAACTTGAATCTGGAGAGGATCTAGGACAGAAGTTCAATAAACCGATTTAACCTAAACCAGTTAAGTCTGATACTACATCCATCCAGGTTTATCTTAAACTATTTTTGGCCATCTTGAAAGCAGTTTATATGCACTGAACTTCTGTTGCATTAGCGATCTGAACCATTTCTGATCACTTATACCGATTTATGTGTAATTTCTGTTCCTACCCTGTCTGTTGCATATGATAGATCATGGACGGGACAGGCAGCATAGCAGTAGCTGATAGGGCAGGAACAAGAAAACAGACAAGATCAGATAGGGAGCACAAGGCAGGAAGCAGAAACAGAGGGAGGATATTGGGTCAGGAGCACAAAGAAGGGAGCAGAAAGCAGAGTAGCAGACTGGACAGGTGAAGTGCATCAGAGTCACACTTGGGGAGGGTCCAGGGCTAATTTGTGGCATGCCTGCCAAAAACTATACGAGTAGATTCCTCCCAGGTATTGCAATGCTGATGTTGTACTGATGTTTGTGTGCCACCTGTAACCCCGAGTATGATGCTGTCAGGAATTTCATACTCCTGGTAAGATTATCCATGATAGCAAAGTTGAGAGCAAGGTTCCAGACTAATAGTGATCCAAAAATAAAAATAAAAGTCCTCAACAGTGGAGCAGGCAGATTAAACACGAATACTTGACAGTGGTCATGTCCACATGTACCACTATAACGCCGTTGTCAGTGCACCATCATTTAGTACTTCATTTTGGAAGTACTAAAAGCTGGCACAGTAACAGCCCATACTTCACTGTGCACACTATGCATGCTTATTTTTAGGCACTACGTCACCATAGCGACACATTATAATGAGGGAGCACGTCACTACAGTGACACAGCTGCAGGGTCATGGTTCCTGCCTGCAGATCAGGGTGGGCAATTATTTCAGGCAGAGTTATGGCTTACCGAGTTTTGGCAAGCCATCAAGGGCCGTATGACAGGCAGCCAGGGGCAGATATATATTAATTTTCTAAATTTTTTAGGGGCCCTACAGACCGGATAGAATGGCCTGGTGGGCCGCATCTGACCCATAGGCCACATTTTGCCCATCCCTGCTGCAGATTCTGTGTGGCTGTAGTGTATTACTACAGTGATGTAGGTGTCACATGTAGACACACCCACTGGCTGCAAAAGGAGGAAGAAGGCTCCAACAGAATAGAAACCTCCAGTTGTCTGGCTTTCCTTGCCATTGAATTAAGGTTACCTTCCTGCAAAGAATCACGTGGTTGCTGATGTACAACAGTGCACATGGGAATCTTCCTTCAATAGCGAGAGACGAGTGTTGACAAAGGAATATGCTAGTGATTACTGGAAGCCCCTAGTAACAGACCTACACAGACACAACGATGGCATGATTTTCTGAAGAAATGCAATAGTACCATCAATACTTGGGAGAATCAAGCACCGAGTCATCCCTAGTGGCACCATGTTGTACAATGTGGCATCAATTATTTCAAGCAAATTCACCTCACCATGGAGGCTGATAGACAAGATAGACACAAAGAGAAAGATCTGTGACCCAACATCACCAAGATCAACTCCTTCCTTCCTATTTGCCATTTCTGCAGTCCAACATGCAGATCTTCAGTTGCCTTCCTGTTATCTATAGACTTACTCCCTATTTATTAGATCAGTGTCACCCATGTATCAGAAGATGGCTTATGACAACAATTAGTTGGTGCAACAAGAGGTGCAAACAAGGTGCAAGAAGAGATAAACGTATTTAATTGTTAATTACCTGTTGATTTAATGGATTCTTAATGGATATTAGTGGATAATGGACAATTTAATAAAATGCATTATTAATTGATGATGAGTATTAACAGACAATGACAACCTAACAAATGCAATACAGGCCCCACAGCTAAAGGATTAAGATGACTGTTTATCTTTAGTACTTCAGTTATTTTCAAAAGTTATCTTACCTGACAGTGTTTACCACAGTATCGGGCAATTTTACACTGAGAGCATCTAAGCAGGTTTTCATTCCTAAAAAAAAAAAAAAAAAAACTGTATTCATTATTCGAGAAAATATTTTCCAAATATTTGAAGGAAAAAGGTGTCATAAAAATACAATTTGCCTAAAACACATTTTACATGTACATGAGTCACAGCAAGAAGCTAGAATGTCAGGTTCTGATCCTTTAATTTAGGGATGTCAAACATACGGCCAACGGGCCAAATCTGGCCCACAGAGTCATGTCATCTGGCCCACAGCCTCAACAGGAGGGACCTTCCTCTGACTAGTCAAGCACTCAAGACAAATTTTACACCTCTGCTTTAACTGATGTGGCACGTCCTATTCTAACTGGAATCAGTAGGCTTCCTCTTCAAGAGTAAGAGTATCAGAATCTAGATTAGAAAGTCTCTGTATTCCCTTGTGAGATGGTAAAACAAGAAATATTTTTCTCCACTTTGCTGTCAAAGAATTAGACTTGGACATAAACTCAGTAAGTAGAAACCTAACTAAGTCGCAGAAGGACAAAAGGTTTTTCATGGCCCACTTGCAGCACACAGAGGCAATTTCAGGGGCATTTTGCAGAGGCCTCTCCCCTCACTGCTGATTGTCAGAGGGTGCCTTCACTAGGTCTACATCACTACCACTTATTTTGGTTGGTTTTACAAGAAATCACAGCAAACACCAGATTTCCCAGAGATAGTGGACAACGCTGTTTTTTGAAGTTTCCGCAAAATCCATGAAACCATGATATAGGTACGTCCCCATCAGTAAGATCTCAGAGCTGTCCTACAAAACACTAGGCAACACAGCAGTATGCTGTGTTGCAAAGCAGAACTCAAAGAACCAGGATACCAATCATTACTTGTCTTTAGCAAGATCCCTGCTGCAAATCTGCAGTTGGGATGCTGAGGTATATTTTATACTATAACATTAACCTATCAGTGGAAATTTCTGCCTTAGAAATAGGTATCTTGTGATTAGTGTTATTATATTCCAAAGTCAAAACCCGGTGTGGAAAAAATCTTGGAGATGGGGGAAAGAGGGACACATAAAAAACGTTTTGATTGCACTCTCACAAATAATCACCTGGATTAATTAAGACTCTCCACTACTTTCTTGATGTACAGGCATACAACTATGAGAATTCCACTTGTAGAGAAAATAATTAATAAGCACCTTGTAAATTATTAGATGGTCAAGAAATACTACATACAAAATAATGCAGAAAGTAAATCATATTTTCACAAGCCAAATACCGTTCTCAGTTGCACTGAACTTAATCTAAAATAACCCCATTAAAGCAAATGGATTTACTCCTGATGTAAACCAGTGAAAACAGGAAAGACGTTGGACTCTCCTCCTCTCTACTTTAAATTCTATAGATTACAGTAGATTTTGAAGATCCCTATTACTTACATGCCAGTACTGTCATAGCCCAGAAAGTTCAAAGGTTTTCATTCTCTTTTTCAGTTTAAAACAAAGATACCACATGCCCAGTCCAATTTAACGTACCTCAAGCATATGGGTACAGAAGCCTTTACAGGTTGGGGACTACAGTCAGACCGGACCCAAGCAGGGTGCGGGGCCCGGGGCAAATCAGCCCATGCAGGGCCCTACCCCTTCTCCAATCCCATTGGGCCCCAGACCTGAAGAAGCTGCTGTGGCAGTGCGGGCAGGGAAGGCGGGGGTAGTGAGTGGCTGGACACGGAGCCACTGCTCCGCCCAGCTCCGTGCCACCACTGCTCCACGCAGCTCCACAGGGCTCCCCAAAGTGAAGTGCATGGGGCGGTCACCCCAATTCACACCCCCCAGGGATGGCCCTGACTACAGTAAGGCTACAACAGCAAGCCAGATCATAGAATCCTCCTTCTTAGAGTGTGACAGTACTCTTACTAATAAGGAAAGCCAGCCACATTTCTTACACTAACGAACTACAGTTATATACAAAAGATACAATGCCAATCTGATAAATATTTAGGTTTAAAAACCATTCTACCCCTGCTTATTCCTGGGCACCTTTTATCTGCAGTGCCTTCTAGCTGAAGACTAAAACTCATTTCAGTCTAACACTGGCAATGGGACTACAAGAAAGATAGTCTTTTTTTTTTTTTTTGAAATAGGTGAGGCAAGTGAAGCAGAAAGAAAGACAAGTGATTTAATCAAGTCTATATCACAAGGACCTGACCATATAAGATTACTTAAGATTACCATTGCCTGTACAGGGATTTCATGATGCTGCAAGTGAGCTCTCTGAACACTCGCTCCTAATTTCAAAAGCACAGTGGTAAACCAGCAACCTGAAATGACAATCTAGCTCCAGTGAAAGCAAAGGGAATTTTGTCACTGGACTTCAACAGCGGTTCCCAGGTTTCACTCTTCTCACTCTGCATATGGCACTTTGACACAACGTCATTCTTTATTAATATTTACATCAGTACATAGCCAGTTATCCCCTGGCCACAGACTCTTCAATCCCATTGAATGCTCACAAATTCCTTAAACATCTCATCCAAATAAGGGAAAATGGTACCAACTGGCTGCAAACATCAGCATATATACTTTTTGCGTGATGCAATTGGATCCCTGATTCTACTAATTTAACTGACAGCTAAGAATCTACAGCTGCCCACAATAAATATAGAATGCCAAAAATGAAACAGACTAAGATCTTTTATCTTGTATGTGGAATTTCCGGTTGTGAGAAAGAAATTTTGTACGACAGGAACAGAGATATGACACTTCATTACTGCAGCACTGTTCACTAAATGCTCAAGGGTTCCACTATTACAGCCTATGAGCTTTGCCCGTTTAGAAGTCATATATTTATTAGAGTCACCAAACATGAATAGCAAACAGTAATAAAGTACTGTTAAAAATATAAGCATTGTAGTTATATGGAAAAACAATGGTAAATTTAATTTATAGAAAGAGTATGAAAGGATGGTAGGCTGCAGCTTAAAGACACAAATTTAGGTCTGCATTATTATTTATACATAGTGAAGTCAGTAATTTTAGCCACAGTATACAAAGTGGTATAAAAATGTTATCTACCTCCACCTGGATGGCTCACAGATTGAGAGGGGAAGTAAGCTAGTCAATTGACAATCTTTGCACTACTGGAGTGCAAAATCACCATCTTTAAGCCACACCATATTTTACTTGTCTATATGTTACCCAATTAGAAAGAAAAAGGTACTTTAGAAATATTTGTTTTACACACATTTATAGCTAGTATCTTTCATAATCACCGCACCTACAAAATGAGGGGCCTTAGTATCATGATCCATATCGTGTAAGAAAATAGGTAATTTTTAGAATTCTTTAAATGTTACCTAAATTCTCTTTTCCATACATAATGTTGCCAAAATAAATAAATAAATAAATAAATAATGGCGGTTTGGAGCTGCCCAAATTTGAATGTTAGAACTAGTCTGGAGAGAAACAAACTAACATGCATTATCTCTCTCTTTGGCCCTACACTCTGTTTTCCTTCTTGGCTCTTGACCGAAGTGAAAGCTGCCCTCCCACCAGATGCAAGACCACCTTCACACATAGCAAGCCCTCCCTCCCCAATGGCATCTTGTTAGATAGACCCTCTCTATCGCTGCCCGTTTTGCTGACTGTGGACAGCAATGAGAGTGGCAGGCCCAGCACTTTGCTGTCCCTCCCCATACCTGATGAAAACAGTGTTGGCTTGTGGTCCTGTCTGGGAAGGCACTGTACACACAAACAGTCAAAGTGTGTCATGCCCATGCCCTGGCTGCCTGCCCTGACATGACTTGGAGGCAGCACCTAGCAGCAGCAGCACCAGAGCAAGCCCACCTGGCCTGGCACACCCTGTACAAGCTAACGATAACCAAGAAAACTGGAGACCCAGTGGCAGCTGCTGCACAGAGCCCTGGCCACAGGCATTTTTGTCCACCACTTATATCTTGCACAAAAATACAGACCAGTTTGTGTCACGCTGGACAATGAAGGGGGCCTTCTGTGAGATGGACTATGGACATCTGTTCATGTGTCTAATCCCATATGGGGCGTGTGTGTAATCCCATAAGGGGCGTGCCGGAGGAGGTTTCAGTCTCCCGTGACTACTACCATGTATTTCACGAGACTGAATACTAATAAGTATTTCATGCTTAGCCCCAGGGAGGGCCACACACTTTGCATTTTCACCATTTGATTTTAATATTTGTATAACAAAGTCTTAAAAAGTTCCTTTTCCCTCCTGACTACTCCTTACATATTCTTTAATACTGAGTGACACATTCTTTCTGGGATACAAGATAATCTTCAAGAAACCTACACTTCCTTTCTAAAAATTGGGCAAGTTTTCCACATTTATTTTAATTATATAGTTTAATAGGACCTTTCCCTGCAGGTTTTTCAAATCAGTCGAAGAACACACAACAAAAAGTTCTACTTCTTTGACCATCAACACATTACCTTGGAAATCTTCCAGTAAGCCACTCAAAATAAATTAAATGCACACTCAGCACTGCCTCTGCAAATCTGTATCCGAGCCTGGAATGATGTAGAAAGTTAGAGATCTAGGACCTTGGTTTTCTATAAGGCCATATATAATTTTTTAGATGATCATGCTGTGGATTTACCCAAGTTATTCAGCACAGTGACACCCCTGAACAGTTTTGCAAGATCAGAAGCACTTGGTTCTTCCTTATTTTGAAATATAAAGTAGACACTCTCTCCACAAAATGTTATGTACCAATATTTAAAGGGCCCCTGTTGAACTTCTCCCCTTAATCATTCAAATACTATTGTTTGTGATCAGACAAATATTTTTGTTACTATCAAATTTAATTATCCCTAGGCAAGTTTTGCCAGAAGCTGCAAATGTCCGAGTCATTTGCAAGCTCATCCCTAATTCACCCTCTTGAAGTTGGATTGAGCAGAGGATCCATCTGAACTAATATTTACATTAGGCAATACATCTCTAGGTGCAATAGCTTAAGTCAAACATGATTTTAAAAGCATAAAAACACAGTACTAAAAAGTACCATCCAAAAAACAC